GGCTGATGGCTGTTTGCAGGCTGGCCACAGCCCCTTCAGGGTGGGGGTCCCTGCTGGGGTGCCTGGCCTGCCTGGGTGAGGGGCTGATAGTGGTTTGCAGGCTGGCCAAGCCCCCCAGCAGGGACTCTCACCCCATGAGGGTGTGGCCAGCTGAATGAGGGCTGATGGCTGTTTGCAGGCTGGCCACAGCCCCTTCAGGGTGGGGGTCCCTGCTGGGGTGCCTGGCCTGCCTGGGTGAGGGGCTGATAGTGGTTTGCAGGCTGGCCAAGCCCCCCAGCAGGGACTCTCACCCCATGAGGGTGTGGCCAGCTGAATGAGGGCTGATGGCTGTTTGCAGGCTGGCCACAGCCCCTTCAGGGTGGGGGTCCCTGCTGGGGTGCCTGGCCTGCCTGGGTGAGGGGCTGATAGTGGTTTGCAGGCTGGCCAAGCCCCCCAGCAGGGACTCTCACCCCATGAGGGTGTGGCCAGCTGAATGAGGGCTGATGGCTGTTTGCAGGCTGGCCACAGCCCCTTCAGGGTGGGGGTCCCTGCTGGGGTGCCTGGCCTGCCTGGGTGAGGGGCTGATAGTGGTTTGCAGGCTGGCCAAGCCCCCCAGCAGGGACTCTCACCCCATGAGGGTGTGGCCAGCTGAATGAGGGCTGATGGCTGTTTGCAGGCTGGCCACAGCCCCTTCAGGGTGGGGGTCCCTGCTGGGGTGCCTGGCCTGCCTGGGTGAGGGGCTGATAGTGGTTTGCAGGCTGGCCAAGCCCCCCAGCAGGGACTCTCACCCCATGAGGGTGTGGCCAGCTGAATGAGGGCTGATGGCTGTTTGCAGGCTGGCCACAGCCCCTTCAGGGTGGGGGTCCCTGCTGGGGTGCCTGGCCTGCCTGGGTGAGGGGCTGATAGTGGTTTGCAGGCTGGCCAAGCCCCCCAGCAGGGACTCTCACCCCATGAGGGTGTGGCCAGCTGAATGAGGGCTGATGGCTGTTTGCAGGCTGGCCACAGCCCCTTCAGGGTGGGGGTCCCTGCTGGGGTGCCTGGCCTGCCTGGGTGAGGGGCTGATAGTGGTTTGCAGGCTGGCCAAGCCCCCCAGCAGGGACTCTCACCCCATGAGGGTGTGGCCAGCTGAATGAGGGCTGATGGCTGTTTGCAGGCTGGCCACAGCCCCTTCAGGGTGGGGGTCCCTGCTGGGGTGCCTGGCCTGCCTGGGTGAGGGGCTGATAGTGGTTTGCAGGCTGGCCAAGCCCCCCAGCAGGGACTCTCACCCCATGAGGGTGTGGCCAGCTGAATGAGGGCTGATGGCTGTTTGCAGGCTGGCCACAGCCCCTTCAGGGTGGGGGTCCCTGCTGGGGTGCCTGGCCTGCCTGGGTGAGGGGCTGATAGTGGTTTGCAGGCTGGCCAAGCCCCCCAGCAGGGACTCTCACCCCATGAGGGTGTGGCCAGCTGAATGAGGGCTGATGGCTGTTTGCAGGCTGGCCACAGCCCCTTCAGGGTGGGGGTCCCTGCTGGGGTGCCTGGCCTGCCTGGGTGAGGGGCTGATAGTGGTTTGCAGGCTGGCCAAGCCCCCCAGCAGGGACTCTCACCCCATGAGGGTGTGGCCAGCTGAATGAGGGCTGATGGCTGTTTGCAGGCTGGCCACAGCCCCTTCAGGGTGGGGGTCCCTGCTGGGGTGCCTGGCCTGCCTGGGTGAGGGGCTGATAGTGGTTTGCAGGCTGGCCAAGCCCCCCAGCAGGGACTCTCACCCCATGAGGGTGTGGCCAGCTGAATGAGGGCTGATGGCTGTTTGCAGGCTGGCCACAGCCCCTTCAGGGTGGGGGTCCCTGCTGGGGTGCCTGGCCTGCCTGGGTGAGGGGCTGATAGTGGTTTGCAGGCTGGCCAAGCCCCCCAGCAGGGACTCTCACCCCATGAGGGTGTGGCCAGCTGAATGAGGGCTGATGGCTGTTTGCAGGCTGGCCACAGCCCCTTCAGGGTGGGGGTCCCTGCTGGGGTGCCTGGCCTGCCTGGGTGAGGGGCTGATAGTGGTTTGCAGGCTGGCCAAGCCCCCCAGCAGGGACTCTCACCCCATGAGGGTGTGGCCAGCTGAATGAGGGCTGATGGCTGTTTGCAGGCTGGCCACAGCCCCTTCAGGGTGGGGGTCCCTGCTGGGGTGCCTGGCCTGCCTGGGTGAGGGGCTGATAGTGGTTTGCAGGCTGGCCAAGCCCCCCAGCAGGGACTCTCACCCCATGAGGGTGTGGCCAGCTGAATGAGGGCTGATGGCTGTTTGCAGGCTGGCCACAGCCCCTTCAGGGTGGGGGTCCCTGCTGGGGTGCCTGGCCTGCCTGGGTGAGGGGCTGATAGTGGTTTGCAGGCTGGCCAAGCCCCCCAGCAGGGACTCTCACCCCATGAGGGTGTGGCCAGCTGAATGAGGGCTGATGGCTGTTTGCAGGCTGGCCACAGCCCCTTCAGGGTGGGGGTCCCTGCTGGGGTGCCTGGCCTGCCTGGGTGAGGGGCTGATAGTGGTTTGCAGGCTGGCCAAGCCCCCCAGCAGGGACTCTCACCCCATGAGGGTGTGGCCAGCTGAATGAGGGCTGATGGCTGTTTGCAGGCTGGCCACAGCCCCTTCAGGGTGGGGGTCCCTGCTGGGGTGCCTGGCCTGCCTGGGTGAGGGGCTGATAGTGGTTTGCAGGCTGGCCAAGCCCCCCAGCAGGGACTCTCACCCCATGAGGGTGTGGCCAGCTGAATGAGGGCTGATGGCTGTTTGCAGGCTGGCCACAGCCCCTTCAGGGTGGGGGTCCCTGCTGGGGTGCCTGGCCTGCCTGGGTGAGGGGCTGATAGTGGTTTGCAGGCTGGCCAAGCCCCCCAGCAGGGACTCTCACCCCATGAGGGTGTGGCCAGCTGAATGAGGGCTGATGGCTGTTTGCAGGCTGGCCACAGCCCCTTCAGGGTGGGGGTCCCTGCTGGGGTGCCTGGCCTGCCTGGGTGAGGGGCTGATAGTGGTTTGCAGGCTGGCCAAGCCCCCCAGCAGGGACTCTCACCCCATGAGGGTGTGGCCAGCTGAATGAGGGCTGATGGCTGTTTGCAGGCTGGCCACAGCCCCTTCAGTGTGGGTGTCCCCACTGGGGTGCCTAGCCATCCTGGGTGAGGGGCTGAGGGCCAATTGCAGGCTGGCCACAGCACCTTCAGGGTGGGGGGTCCTGCTGGGGTGCCTGGCCAGCCTGGGTGAGGGGCTGAGGTCCCTTTGCAGGCTAGCCACAGCCCCTTCAGGGTGAGGGGTCCTGCTGGGGTGCCTGGCCAGCCTGGGTGAGGGGCTGAGGTCCCTTTGCAGGCTAGCCACAGCCCCTTCAGGGTGAGGGGTCCTGCTGGGGTGCCTGGCCAGCCTGGGTGAGGGGCTGAGGTCCCTTTGCAGGCTAGCCACAGCCCCTTCAGGGTGAGGGGTCCTGCTGGGGTGCCTGGCCAGCCTGGGTGAGGGGCTGAGGTCCCTTTGCAGGCTAGCCACAGCCCCTTCAGTGTGGGTGTCCCCCCTGGGGTGCCTGGCCATCCTGGGTGAGGGGCTGAGGTCCATTTGCAGGCTAGCCACAGCCCCTTCAGGGTGAGGGGTCCTGCTGGGGTGCCTGGCCAGTCTGGGTGAGGGGCTGAGGGCCGTTTTCAGGCTGGCTAAGCCCCCCAGAGGGGACCCTCACCCCATGAGGGTGTGGCCAGCCTGGGTGAGGGGCTGATGGCTGTTTGCAGGCTGGCCACGGCCCCCAGCCACCCAAGCTCCCAGTGGAGGCTGGCTGGAAGCAGCTATCTGGGATTCATTTGTCTTCTATAATTGAAACTTTATTGCCATGAGCAGAGGCCACAGCTGGCTCAGGGCAGGCGGATAGCTTGGCTTCCTCCATCGCCTAGGCAACCAAGCTTCCTGCTTGCTCCAGCTCCGTGGCTGCCAGCCGCCACCTTGGTTGGGTTAATTTGCATATCATCGCTCTGATTGGCTGGTGGGTGTGGCTTGGGGGGTAGCAGAGGGGCAGTCAATTTGCATGTTTCTCTTTTATTAGATTAGATAGATAGATAGATTTTTTTTAAAAGACTTAATTGCAAAGGGGCAGAATGGAAACAGTCTACATCTTGAACTGGATAGTGTTTAGCCTGGTGTTTTCACTTGTCAAGTCATAAAACTGTACACAGTACTTTAAATTTCTGCTCTTGCTGCATGTAAATATCTCAATAAAGTAGTATTTTTTAAAAATATTTTTTATTGATTTCAGAGAGGAAGGGAGAAGGAGGGAGAGAGATAGAAACATTAATGATGAGAGTGAATCATTGATCGACTGCCTCCTGCACGCCCCCTACCGGGGATGGAGCCCCCAACCGGGCATGTGCCCTGACCAGGAATCTAACTGTGACCCCCTGGTTCCATGCTCAACCACTGAGCCACACAGGTCTGGCTAAAGTAGTGTGTTTTTGTGGTGTGTGCGTGTGTGTGTGTTTTAATGTGAGGGCTGCTGTGAAGCATAAAGGAGAACATAGGGGAAGGGGTTCTGCTCAAGACCCTTCAAAAAAAAACATTGATTTTGGAAGGAGGGATGTTCTACTCCGCAAGTCAGCCTCAGCAAGAGGCGTAGTGAAACACTTCCCCGCCAGAGGGCAGTGTCGTAGTCCGCCGGCCACTACCTTCTGTCCGTCAGCCACCGGGCGGGGGTAGGACCCACATGGACGCGGGGCGGCCACGAGCCCCACATTTGCAGAGGGAAGCCGTGCCCGCCCAGAGGGAAGCCGTTCCCGCGGCAGGACGGCTTCCAGCACCAAACGCGCGGTGGCCTGCGGCTGCGGGTGTAACAGAACCCGCGCTCTGGCTCCGCTCCTGGAACCAGGCCGGCGCCTCCGTCCTCCCCGACCTCCTTCCACTCAGAGAAGCAGGTCATCTGAGCTTCCGCAAACCCCCACCCACATAGAACTAAATATTTTTCTTTTGAATGACAACAGAAGCGTGGCCTAGATTAATGGCTTAATTGTCCCTCGTGCTAAAAGGCGACTCACCAGCCCTGGCTCGCCAAGGAGGGGGCTGCCAGGGGAATGGGCTGGAATGCGGAGAGGGGAGGGAGCAGTCACTGCCCCAGGGACACGGCCCCACGGCCCCGGGACCCCCCCATTATCTCCCTCACCCGTGGCCACCGCCCGCAACCGGACCCCGGGCGACGCCTTTGGGCAGCCCCGCCCGCCCGCTGGCTCCCGTGTCCCCAGCCCTCTCCTCCGCCCCGCCTGGCGCACTGCAGAGCTTGCGAACTTCCCTGGACCCTGCAGGGAGGAGGCCGCGGAGACGCCTTCCGACTCTGGCCCTCTGGTCCCGGCGGCTCCCGGCCCACCACCCGCAGGGCAGGGTCTCGCCCCGGTGCAGACGCCGCCAGCGCCGCAGGTGCCGCCCAGAGGCAGCGCGAGGGTGAGTCGGCCCGAGCAGCTCGGGAGGAGTTAAAGGAGGTCAAGGGGGTCGCGGGGCGGGGTAAGGGAGGAAGGTAATTGTTCCTATTCCTGCCTTCGCTAGCTGCCAAGAGACCAGCAGATGCGAGAGCCAGGGAGGCAGGCAGGGGAGCTATGGGCTCCCACACATTCTCACAGGCAACTTTCCCCAAACCGGGCCACGGGCGCAGCACTGACCAGGCTAAAGGAGACTGGAGACATGCTGCGACTTTTCTGGGGAAGGGAGGCTGTAGGCAAACTCCACTTTAGGGACCCGGACGAAGGCCTAGACTTGAATCCTCTCCTGCTGTGGGCGGGCCTTCGTGGTCGCTTTTGGAACTTTACTTTCCCCATCTATAAAATGGGAGTATAATGCTACCTCCCAGGGTCCCTGTTAGGATGAATCCAAAAGACGCTGCAAAGAGCTGAGCAGGAAGCCTGTGAGAGCAGATGGGTTCACACTGTTTTAGCGGAGAAGACTCTCCACTCGGGCCTTGCGGGATACACTTAAGGCCAGGCCTGCCCTCCTGTTGGCAGCGAAAGGGGCACCGGAATGTTCCCGGCCATTGGACCTGGGTTCAGCAATCTTGGTATCTGAGTTCTGGCTAAAAGGATTCAGAGCCAAGGCTCAAACTATAAAAGAACATTTATTTGGGAAGTCACAGGTAGAAGTGAGCTGTAGAAGAAATGGGCCCAGGAAATAAGTGACAAGCGAAAGAAGGGGCCTTGGAGCTTAGGAGAAAGAGAGTCGAGGAGAAGGAGCCTGGAGAAGGATGCTCCGCAGAGAGAGCCGTGCTGGGTCCTCAGCTTGAGGGTATTTAGCTGGGGGTCTCAGGGTGGATCCCAATAGAATACCATCAGCTGTCCAAGTGTGTCCTTTGGGGTCCTGGTCTCTACTGACTGGGCAGGGGTTCATGCGGCAATGCAGCTGGTCCTGATGTCAGCCATGGCCTTGCTTGTTCTGGTTTTGCTGCTATTCTGGGCCTGGAACTGAAACACTACTGAGGCCTAGATCAGCGGTTCTCAACCTGTGGGTCGCGACCCCTTTAGGGATCCAACGACCCTTTCACGGGGGTCGCCTAAGACCATCGGAAAACACATATATAATTACATATTGTTTTTGTGATTAATCACTATGCTTTAATTATGTTCAATTTGTAACAATGAAATTGGGGTTCACCACAACATGAGGAACTGTATTAAAGGGTCACGGCATTAGGAAGGTTGAGAACCACTGACCTAGATGTTAATGTTTTTTTTGTTGTTGTTTTTTTTGTTTTGTTTTTTTTAAATATATTTTATTGATTTTTTACAGAGAGGAAGGGAGAGAGATAGAGAGTTAGAAACATCGATGAGAGAGAAACATCGATCAGCCGCCTCCTGCACATCTCCTACTGGGGATGTGCCCGCAACCCAGGTACGTGCCCGAAACCCAGGTACATGCCCTTGACCGGAATCGAACCTGGGACCTTTGAGTCCGCAGGCCGACCCTCTATCCACTGAGCCAAACCGGTTTCGGCTAGATGTTAATGTTTAAGGGAGTGATCATGCAAGGGCCTGCCTGGGAGTCCCATGAAGTCACTCTCCCACCCCATGTTCCTCCTCCCAGGGGGTCTACCCCACACTAGCGACATGCCAGGGGCCAGGTCCTTATTTTTCCAGTTTCGCCCATTGCTAGGCACCCAGGGCCCTGGCGACCTTCTGTACCTAGCCCATGGTCGTCGCTCTGCTCATGTCTGTCTACCTGCCTACCACACTCCTAAGGATGAGAGAATGGCCTCCTTGCCCAGGAGTCTCATGGGGGCACAGACAAAGGCAAAAGCTCTGTCACCAAGGATGCTCCAGGCAAACATGCAGGCCAGCACTGACCTTGCTTTGGTTAGTGGCTGCTTGGGCCTTTGCATGGGATGCACAATATGGCAAGGACTATTGCAGCTGTCCTTAAGGAGGGCGTCCCTCACTGTCATTCTTTTTTTTTTTTTTAATATATTTTATTGATTTTTTACAGAGAGGAAGGGAGAGGGATAGAGAGCCAGAAACATCGATGAGAGAGAAACATCGATCAGCCGCCTCCTGCACATCCCCCACCGGGGATGTGCCCGCAACCCAGGTACATGCCCCTGACTGGAATTGAACCCGGGACCCCTCAGTCCGCAGGCCGACGCTCTAGCCACTGAGCCAAACCGGTTTCGGCCTCACTGTCATTCTTCACCACAGACATCTTTGCCTCAGGGAACTACTGTCAAAACTATGAACAAAGCCCTGGCCCCTGTGGCTCAGATGGTTGAGCGTCATCCCATGCACCCAGAGGTCGCCAGTTTGATTCCCAGTCAGGGCACATGCCTGGGTTTCGGGCTCCATCCCCAATATCAGCGGTGGGCCATGCAGGAGGCCACCAATAGATATTTCACTCTCCCTCCCCCTTCCTGTCTCTCTAAAATCAATGAAAATATACTTAAAACACAAACAAGCAACTATTAACACTGCAAAACTCCCCCCTACAGAGCAGAGTTCCCATTTTGCAGATGGGAACCGAGGTCACGGATGTTTAAGTGATGTAGGCCAGTTCGTAGAGAGAACTTACTCTCTTGCACCCTTCCCTGTGTGTTAATGCTCTGTTGCAATCTCTGTTAATCAGAGGATAAGCAGGGGTCCGTTTGCACTGCCAGAAAAAGGAGGCGGCCACAGTCAGACCTTCCAATGCTGTTGTGCAGGGATCCCCACCCCCTTCTCCCACACTCCCACCCCCTGCAGTCTTTAAAACCTGCTCCAGGCCCGCTGGCTGCTGTGGCTCAGTGGTTGAGCAATGGCCTATGAACCAGGAGGTCACCTTTTATTCCCCCTGGGGCACATCCCCAGATTGCAGACTCATCCCCAGTAAGGGGCGTGCAGGAGGCAGCCTATTAATTATTCTCATCATTGATGTTTCTCTCTCCCTCTCCCTCCCTCTCTCTGAAATTAATAAAAATATTTTTTAGCTATAGCTGGTTTGGCTCAGTGGATAGAGCATCGGCCTGCGGGTCCCAGATTCGATTCTGATCAAGGGCACATGCAGGGGTCGCAGGCTTGATCCCCAATAGGGGGCGTGCGGGAGGCAGCCGATCAATGATTCGCTCTCAGCTTTGATGTTTCTACCTCTCTCTCCCTCTCCCTTCCTCTCTGAAATCAATAAAACTATATAAAAATAAAATAAAAAAATATTTTTTTAAAAAAACCTGCCCTAGCCGGTTTGGCTCAGTGGATAGAGCCTCGGCCTGCAGACCAAAGGGTCCCGGGTTTGATTGCAGGCCCTGGTCCGGGCTCCTGCAGGAGGCAACCATTGGATGTGTTTCTCTCACATCGATATTTCTCTCTGTCTTTCCTTCTCTTTCCCACTCTTTCTAAAAGATCAATGGAAAAATATCCTCTGGTGGGAATTAACAAAAATAAAAATAAATAAAACCCTGCTCCAAATGCCGGATCCGGGAAAGGGTCGCACCTGGGACCCGCCGCCCTCCCCAGGAAGCAACGACCCAGCAGCTTTGTCACGAAGTTGCCCCCACGCGATGGCTGCCATTCCGGACCATAGGGTTCCCAGCGGGGTCCCCAGAGCGCCCGGTGCTGCGCGCTCGGCGGGCGCGGGTGGAAGGTGGGGCCCTTCGCTTCGGCCAGAGAGCCCCGTGTCTGGGCTCACGGGCAGCCAGGCAGGCGATCTCCCGGCCGTCTTCTCGCCGCACTGATGTCATCTCTTCCCGAGCTCCCCGGCTCCCCGCGCCCGACGCGGTGGTTTCCTCTTCGCGGTACCCCTGCTCCCGAGGT